AAGCCATTGCACAGGAAACGGGGCGTTTTATGTGTATCGCGTAATTTGCTCGGACGCACACCTGTAATGTCCATGGTGTAGTTAAATATCGAAAGTCTGCCTAACATGCACGCACATTTTTAGTTCAATTTTGAAAGATGAGGCTGGGTGTTCTTGTTTTTGTCCGTTTTAAAATTGGTGTTTGAAAAATATTTTAAATATATTGTTTCTCCTTACGATGCACCCGGTTAATACACGATACAATTAAATTTTTTCTATAGAAAAAAATTTTTTGTATCGTGCATTATTTGCAGTTTTCTTACAAACTAAATATCATTTTAAACAAGTACTAATACTCCTTTTTTTCTATAATAAATATCGATTTCTAGGTAATTCATTTTGGAATCAATTCCACCCTATCGTTTTTTTTTTCATTACATTTATTAAAAAAATTATCGATTATTCAAGTGATTTTTGATCCGCATGTCGCTTGCCAGTGTCCCGCGGGACGGGCCGGTTTACAACCCGGTACCTGTGCCAAAATTTTGCGCGCGCACTTCTCTTCTGCTACGTAAATAATATTTATGAAATAAAATAAAAATAACTATAGTTTTATGGGACTTATATAGACTATAGTTAAGCTTTTATTTGTGTGTTTATTTCTCATTGTATAAATATTTGTTTATAACTTGTGATTATTATGAAAAAATCACGATCATATGCGCGGCCCGACTCGATCTTTGCGGCGAACGCTTGTAAATACCTAAAGCGGGGAATTCACTTACCCGCGGGCATGTCTGTTCGAGCATGCCTGTCGCTGCAATACAATACACAGACTCATCACTTTGTTTTATGTCTGTGCCCGTGCAGACAAAATGGGATCGCACGAACGTTCAACAGGCAAGTCTGCCAGACCGACTGTGACGATTCTACACTATCAAACTTTGCACAGATCCATAGTAGCGAAGTCCGGCAGGCATGTCCGATAAGTGAATTCCCCGCTTAATGCGCTTGGAACACCCAGCCTTAAACAAACATTTTATATAGACGTAAAATAACGTACGATAATGGTCACTTTACGTTAATTTCTCGGTTAAATATTGACTGCTTTGTTGGCCCAGTGGTCATAATTCCTATTCTAGGATATCCTAAACTCGCAGGTTCGAATCCCGCGCCTGGCCGAAATCAGTTATTGTGGTTTTCTGTCAAGAACTTCTCAGTAGCCAGGAGTCACGGGCCGTTGGTCCTGCGCTTGATTTATCTTCGTTCGTATTGGATTTCCGTCCCGTCGGACTATGAGAGTGCGGGAATAGAGAGTGAGATATTCCTGTCCTGTGTACTTGTGTGCGAATTTTTCTGAAACTACACGACTGATTTTTATGATTCTTTATAAATTATAAACGTGTTCAGGTTTTTGTTGTTATTAAATAGATTATATTTCTTTATTAACTTATATAATTTTAATTATTATAATATTATTTCTATATTATTATGAAGAATGCAAGAGATTATTATCATTTATACTTTATTGTACACCACAAAAAACGATAAAAAAAAACAAATTACAAGGAGTAAAACTTAAGAGGTAGGTACAATAAGGCGGTCTTATCGCTAATAAGCGATCTCTTCCAGACAACCTTAAGATTAGGGGAAAGTTGTTCTATTGGACAGTGGGAGGTGGTGTATATTATAGTAAACTTACATACTAATACCTAAATAAACTAAACTGATACATAATAAAAAAAAATAATACACTAAAATATAGATTCAAAATATAATAGACATACATAACATTAAATAGACAAATATACATAAAAATTACATAAATAAATACAGACAGGATACAAAAAATAAAATGATGTCGCAAATGATGACCAGTAGTTAAGTAGTAATTTTTGACCTCAGTCTTAAACTTTTCTAGTGTTTTCGCCCGACGAATTTTCGAAGGAAGATCATTCCATAAGCAGATGGCGTTGACTGTGAAGGAGTTTTGAACGTATTTAGTTCGATATGAATGTGGCGCGAGTATAAGTTCTCCGGCTGACTGTAGAACTCTGTCCGGCCTGTCATGACCAAGAAACTTGAAGTTTTCCTTCTGATAGCTAGGAGTCATTGGATCAAATAATACACAGTACAGAAGAGAAACAATTTGTAGGTTCCGGCGAAGGCGAATGGGTAACCACTTCAGCTTTAAACGGAACTCGGAGACATGGTCATATTTACGCAAGCCAAATATGAACCTAATAGCCAGATTTTGAATACGCTCAAGTTTGTTTAGTTGATCTTCAGAGAGATGTGAGATGTGTCAGGATCGTGTCAAATGGAAGTCCGTAATCTTTGCCTAGCCCTGGGTGATAGGCGTGGGAGTTAAGGTATGTATTTATTTTCATATTATTTTCGCTTGGAAGAAATCTCTATTAGCAAAGGGTAAATTGTGCAACTAATTTAAAACGTATTTTTTTATGGTGTACAATGAGGTTATATTATATTTACTAGCTGTTCCCCGCGACTTCACCAGCGTAGAATTTGGATTTCATAGATTTTAATATTTTTGCGTGGAACCCTAATTATTTTCCTAAAATATAAGTAGCCTAAGTTACTCGTTATAACATCAGCTATCTGTCTGTGAAAGTCCCATTTAAATCGGTTCACAGGTTTTTGCATGATGCGTGTTCAGACAGACGTCGTGTTAGAGTTTCATTATAGTATAGAATAGATAGATAGATAGATTTACATTTTTCCACTTACAAGATGATGTTACATAAATATTTGAATGTTGTAAGCCATTCAAGAATATATCTATAAGGGCGAAAGGAGGGGATGTATGAACATTTTTTCCAAATATCAAAACACCTGCAGGCGTTGCATCCCCCAATAGAATAACGAGACTTCGACTGGTTATGAAGAACAACATAACTAGTGTAAAGGTATTCTGCGTATACAAGCCTACCTATTCAGCGTAATGATTATAGGCAAATCATCAAGTAATACATGCGGGAACGTAAGAGAATCCATCACGACATAATATCAATGCGTCGTGAGAGGGAACTGAGAAAAATGAAGCACGACACGGTCAGCAGCATCTTGCTGATAACAAAGCGAAATAACGAGAAACTACGGTTGCCGCCTTTGAGCATTGTAACTATGACAAATGTCTGCTCTATGAAGCAATCTGTGGAGGAGGCCTATGTTCAGGTTATGTGGACTTTTGATCGACTGTAATTAACGAATGAATGCATGCTATGTGGAAATGTCTATGTACAACAGGCTTTAATCTTATCATCATCGAAAATAGGGTATTACACCCATTTTCAAAAAGTGTTTTAAATGAATCCTAGAGTTATAATGAACCACTATAATTTTTATATAAATTTTTTAAAACCGAATAGTGACATAAAAATTACTTTTGATCTATCGTTTTAAATTTTCGCGTGAAAACGCTAGCCGCCATACTGTTCAACTCGTGACGTCACTGTCGTAGAATTTTGACAATTTTGCAAAGGAATAAGATACTTTTGAATGTTTAATAATTAGTTATCATTTATATCATTGTTGTGTTGTGCCTGATTGCAAAAATATGAGCATAAGAACGCGGGGGAAGTTATGGATTAAAGTGCCAACTGATTTAAATATGAGAAATACTTGGTTAAAACTGGCAAGAAGAGACCCGAAGGCATTGTCTACATAATCTAAATTATACTTCTGTGAAGATCACTTTGATGTAAGTATGACTTATATTTAACTATCGATTAAACAAAACAAAACATCATGACATGATAGGTACCTATTGCAAGTCAAATTTTGTAATAGATTAGGTTAATCGCTCGTCTGTCCCGCCCTTTGTGGGCCATTTTGATAGCTCTTGCAAGTGCAGTGCAGTGTTTTACTTAATTCCTGTTTTCTTTTTTTCTTTTTTTTATAGGATAAGGGTGACAAACTAGCACACAGTCCACCTGATGGTAAGTGGTTGCTGCGGCCCATAGACATCTACATCTATCCTCTGTTACAAATCCAAATGTAGATGCGTTGTCACCCGTGAGGACTAAGATGGAATGCCTCATTTCCAGTAAAAAGGGCCTCCGGCCACCTGCACTCATCAAGCGAAACGCAGAGGTAAACCTCTACTTCACGCTGGTTTTCTGTGAGGTCGTGGTACCACCCCGGTTCGAGCCGGCCCATCCGTGTGACAGCAAAAGCTGCCGCGTGGCTCTACCACTGTTGTTTTCTTCTATTATATGGGAATAAAGACATGGTTTGTACTCAGACCAAATAAAAAAGTGACTTTTTATTTCGTCTGAGGGTATGTAAAAAAAATATAATAAAAAGTTTTTCTCACCTAAGCATATATTATAATATCTATAACATTAGTGGGAAAAGCGAAGTAATCAACTCGCTTTTACGTATCCGTCTTCCATGATGCCTTTTCAATAAAATTCGGAATAAAAGTCAACAATCGTAATGATAACTTGAAAAATTTCGAAATTAGCTAGTTAGTACACAGCACATAACCTAGTTCTTTGACCTAGTGACGTCACAATGCTATCTAATATGGCGGACATCGTTTTGCAGATTTGAGGCACAGGTAAAAAAAATATTCTTTAAATTGTAATATAAAATTTATAATGCATTTTTATAACTAGATATCAATATTTCTGGTTTACTTTTTACAAAATCTATCATAAATATATATATATTCTATGATTTATTTTACCTGGTGTAAAATACCCTCTTCTGTAAGATTGCTTTCAATTAAAAACAAAATTAGTCACAATTAACGATTAATAATACTGCTCTAGTAGTTAGTGGCGGCGGAAGGTGATCAATTACCCTATTTTATTCGTGGATATCATAAGAAGCCACTATGAAAAAGCGAAAAGGATCTGCAAGCATGTTTCCTACACGATAATGAAGCTTAACATCAAAATCCAGATTTCTGAGACATTTCTGAAGTTTATTAATTATTATACGAGTATCTATAATTATTGTGACTATATTATATCTATAATGAATTATTTACTCACCCGCCATTGCTTGTTGCAGATTTATCAGAGATGCTGCCGTCATTTGCGTTATTTTGTATAGTTATCTTATTTACACCTGGTGTTGAAACATTTGAACTCTGCACTTCAACCTCTGGTTCTCCTTTTACTAAAGTTTCATTCATTTTGACAATCTCAGTTGTTTTAGGACCATTCTTATTTTTTTCATTTACCACCATAACTATTGGCTCAATATTTTCTTTGATATGTTGCTGTTGTTGCTTTTCTGATATATCTTTTGGTTCTTCTACGGGAGTAATAATGCTATTAACTATTTTAGCTGCTTCAGATCGTATTCCGGAAGATAGTTTATTGTTTTCTTTTTCAATTGCATCACTGATTTCATTTAACTTCGTTTCTGCTTCTTTTTTGGCATCTAGAATATCAGATTTGGTTTTATCAGCTACTCTTTTAAAGGTATCTATAGTTTCAGTAGATTTTTCTTCTACTTTTTTAGTCGCAGCAATAATATTTTCCGTCGAAATTTCAGGCTCTTTCAATATACAATCAATTTTTTGTTTCACCCGCTCAACTTGAGGGTTGTTGTATGGCGGTTGCAACAATTTTAATTTTATGTTATCTTCACCATATATGGTTTTTATTGGCTTTGGTGGCTTTTTATCTTCATGTTTTCCATTTTTCTCTTCTTTTACTGTGGTAGAATCTTTAGTTGCAGTTGTGTCTTTTGATGTCATATTTTGTTCACTGGTTGTAGCTTCTTTTGATATAGTTTCATCCTTTTCTTCATTTTTGGGACTTAATGAATCTTTTGAATCTAACCTTTCGAAAATTCCCTTTTCTCTTGCTTTTTCTAGAGCAGCCGGTAACTGGTTAGTAACTGTAGTTACAACTTCCAAAGGCTGTGCAGTTATCGCGGCCGTTGTCATAGATACCACATTCTTTTTTGTTAAAATTACCAAGTCGCCTTTTTCATTAGTAATTTTATCATACTGAGTTTCATTATCTTGTTTAGAAATTTCTTTATCTTCTGTAGGCTTTTCTTCAGTTGTACTTTCTACTTCGTTTAATTTAACACTGTCAACTACATCTTTTTCTGTTGTATGAAATTCTTCTATAGAAGACTTTTTTGTACCAACTTCGTTAATTTTACTGGTTGATTTCGCTTTCTCATTTAAGTCATTTTTTTTGTCCCTACTTTTTCCTAATGGAGGTTTTCCATTTATGTGTTTGGAGCTTGGGGTTCTTGTTAAGCTTTTTAAACTACTTGTTCTAGTAATTGTCTTTTTAGGCTCAACTTTGTTCAAAACGACAGGTTTTTGTGAAGTTCTTATACTTTGAGTTCTAGTTGCACTTTTATTCTGCACAGTTTTTTTACCAACAGTAGGTGGCTTATTGGTAGTTATTTTCTTTTCTGGACTGGTATCTCTGCTTGCAGTTCTGCTAGATTGTTTAGAGTTTATTCTAGATGTAACAGGAGTGCTACTAGCAGTTTTTATAGACTTTTTAACTGCAGGGGATGGTTTTGGCGAGGATTTGGCTGAGTTTGATTTAACATCCTCAACAGGACTCTTATTAGGAGTACCAACAATTGGTGAAAGTCGTTTCGAGCTAATTGATCGATTTGAAGGTGGTGGACCAACTTTGCCAGGTGAAATTGGGGGTTTGCTGTGAATATTATTTGGAGGTATATCAAGAAATTGCGCACTTTGGCTTAATGTTCTTTTATCGTGTACTTGGCTACCAATTCTTATAGTTTCATGAATACTACTCGTGCTATTTGAAATAAATCGTTGATTTTTATTTAAATTATTGTCAAAAGGACGTCTGTGGTTAACAAAGTTTCTTGTACTTCTTGTTGGTGACACAGAGCTCTGCCGTTTGGGTATTTTGGATGTTTTTGGTGAACCGTCATTTGATTGAGGTTGTGATTTAGAAACTGAACTAATCCTAGATCTGTGCGTCGAAGGTTTTGATTTAATCCCTGTGGAGCTAGCTAGTTCCTTATTTTTAACTGGTATATTATTTTCAAATTGCAAGATAGTAGACGGAGAGTTCGATCTAGACCTAAGATTAATTTTACTTGGGGAATTACTTCTAGAATTGGCTCTCGATCCAACTCTACTTCTACCAGTTGTTTTGTTTAATAATCCCATTTCTTTAAGTAAAGCTTCTTCTTCTTCTTGTTTCTTTTTTTCTGCCTCTGCTTCGTGTTTTTCTCTGTTTAGTTCACTTAACCCTTTAATTTCCTCCATGTTCTCCTTAAGGAAGTTTCTCGGAGAACGAGGTCTGCTTAAAATTGTTGGTGGAGGTATTGTGGCCACTTGGGCCATTTTTTCAGAATTTGATAGTGAACTGATTTGTTTACTTGGTGAACTACACCTGGAATTGACCGCTGAGGTTTTAGGAGTATTGCGCCGTGATGTGTCTTCTCGAAATCCCCACCCTTGTAACAAATTTTACAATAAGTATTAGACATGTGTAACCAAATTCTAACCATATAGAGATTTTAATTGAAAGAAGTATATTATATACATATATATTAGACAATTTTTTGTTCTAAGGCGAAACCCATGCTGCATCATATATTTAGGGCTTATTACTACAGTTGTGCAATAAATGATTCACTTCTAAATTAAGAACTGATAATACATTTTGCAGCCCTTGCAACGCTGCAGCGGGGATGCGTTACGTAGACGCTGCATGGGTCGTGTGAGATACAATGTGGTGAAATTAATGAGGTGTGACGTCGCTTTTGGTTTCAAACCTCACTTTAACTTTAAAAATTTTGGTTTGTTATTTTAGTCATAATTTTGTGTCACGAAAAAGTTTTTGTCAAGAAATACTCAGTAGCAGTCCAAAGTTAGGACGTTGGCGATGTTTCACCCCTGTACTTCGGAAAGCACGTAAAGCCGTTGGTCCTGCGCCCGATCTCTCTCTGGTCGTGTCCGGTTTACCGTCCCATCGGAATATGAGAGTGAGGGAATAGAGAGTGCACCTGTGCTTGCGTATACACTTGGGCATTATAATTCTATCCCGTGCATATGGTTAGTTTGCGTTGAGACTGGCCGCCGTGACCGTAATTCGGTCTGTATTACATTATGATTATTATAAGTATATAATATCTATGCAATCAAAAATTATTAATTTTTAATTGGACAATGTGTAAACAGTTAACTTACCTTTAAAAGGCGATACCCTTCCTGCTCCAGAACGAATATCTACTGGCAAAGACCGGGGACTCGTTGGACGCGAAACGACGGGCTCCGCTAGAATTGCGAAGGATTTCTCCCGCTTTCTCTTGATTGGCACCGTTCTGCACAAAAGAAACACAGCCTTGTAGATCATTTTATGCAATTATAGGTTTGCAAACAAACACACAGTCCACCAGATATCAATAAAATTAAATATTCAATCAATCAATGTCTTTATTCATTAACAATAAATTGTGTATGAATATTACAGCAATGTCCTTATTATATTGCTAAGACTTAACTTGGTTAAACAAAATAAATTAATTAGATAATCAAGCAATTAAACAAATTAAAAAAAAATAACTAATAAATATCATTGCACCTTTCTTGTCTATATAATTATTCTACCTAAAAAAAGTTCCAAAACAAAATGAAATAAAAATTAATTAACTATTAAATTTCTTATCATTTAAATAAATATCCTGACTACTCTACAATTAAAATTATTATTGTGACCTATAGACATATCTACTCTCGATTAAGAACAGAAATGCAAATGTGTTAGTCAATTTACGATCTTACTTCCTCGTCATTCTTGGCACAAAACACAGCATTTGAAATAAAGGCTTTAAGGACTGCGTGGTCAGATACTATATTTAATATACTTTTTTTTTAAACTTTAACTTCACACTAGGATATTTTCCTGTATCCTGGAGGCGGCACATACATAAATTTCAAAAGGACAAACATGGTCACCCGGTACAATTATTTGTAGGCCGTACAAATACTTGTTCCGTGCGGGATTTGAGCCCGCGGCCTCAGGGCCGCTACTCATTGATTAACCACTGCGCCGTGGAGTCGTCAGTATTCTATTTACAGTGTCTTGGACATTAATAATTAAATATCTAGATGGTAGAACTCTTTCTCTGCCTTTAGGTGGTATGACTCTATTTCTACTTAGGAGTCCATCTAGGTAGGTACTACCTTACTACTACTATTTAATGTGTACTAGTTACGAATTAAATGTGTACTTTTTTATGAGATAGGGTGACAAACGAGCACACAGTCCACCTGAAGGTAAGTGATTGCTGTGACCCATAGACATCTACATCTATCCTCGTTTGCTAACCAAAATGCAGATGCGTTGTCACCCGTGAGGGCTAAGAAGGAATGCCTCTTTTCCAGTATAATGGGTCTCCGATTCTCTACACTCACCAACACAGCAGCGTTAAGCTGCTATTTTACGCTGGTATTCTGTGAGAGCGTGGTCCTTCCCCGATCGAGCAGACCCATTCGTGCTTCAACTAAACTACTAATTTAGTTGCAGCATGGCTCTTACACGTACAAAAACGTTTTTCGTTTTTATGTGTAACCTCGTAACTTTTTTCTAGGTGAACCTTTTACCAAATTTTATTTGAAAGTTGATGCTTCCCATGTGGTCCCATATAAATTGATCAAGGTATGCCCAATAGTTTTAGAGTTATCCTTAATAATTTATATTGAACTCGGTTTTTTTTATATGATAGGGTGACAAACGAGCACACAGTCCACCTGATGGTAAGTGGTTGCTGTGGCCCATAGACACCTACATTTATCCTCGTTTACGAATCAAAATGCAGATGCGTTGTCACCCGTGAGGACTAAGATGGAATGCCTCTTTTCCAGTAAAAAGGGTCTTCGGTTCTCTACACTCACCATACGAAACACAGCAGGATTAAGCTGCTATATTACGCTGGTATTCTGTGAGAGCGTGGTCCTTCCCCGGTCGAGCCGAACCCATTCGTGCTACAACTATACTACTAATATAGCTGCAGCATGGCTCTGCCACGTATAAGATGGTTGTACGAAATTTTTAATTTTACCACTTGTTAATAAAACTACTTTGGCTTCTTTGGCAATTATGGTAAGTGTTCCTATGAGGTAATCTAGAGGGGAGGCCAATATTCAGAGCTGAACTTTTAATGGGTTGAAATGATTATGGTAGATTATGTTGGAATACCGCTATATATCGGAAACCTAAGATCTTTTTTTCATACTCATCTGAGATTTCAATCAGGACAGTAGATTCGCATGAATTTTTGAAACACTGAACTCGCTGTTTCGCGCAGTACCAATATTAGAAGTAAGCTTAGAATGTACGTTCCATTGGTATATACGAACTGTTAACAAAATGCATACCTTGTCTCGCACTTGCAGACTTTTAATGCAATGGGTTATAGAACTGGAGCGGATATATTCCGTCGCTTTAATTTAATAGTACTAATATAGCGAATATTGTCGTCACAGTTTCCTAATGAGGGTGTAGCGGGTGGAAGGGCAAGGTGTTCTGCCCGGGGAGCGGCCAACGCTCCGATTGGTAGTTCGGAGCTATTCTATATATATGCTGCTTTAACTTCGGAACTTTGTTAGTGCGATTTAGGCTTCTATGTGTTTCGCTTGTGGCGCAACGACAGCGCCGCCACAAGGGCGTCTTTCAATCCACGACTTTTTCTGCCAACAGGGCGGCGCCACTAGAAAATGAGGTATAATATTTGACAGATTTCATAGCGGGGAAGTTAAATTGTTCGGAAATGTAAAAGTTATTGTTTCTTTCTGTAATATTAGATATATTTAAATTAATAACATTAAAAATAAATAAACAAAAGCACAGATATTCATAAAAGTAAAAAAATTTAAAAAAATATAATAATAATTATAAATATGTGCAAAAAATTAAAGAGCAAACCACTGACGCATTGTTTTGTGTATTAATATAATACTCTAGAAACTGATAAACTTTTATTAAAAACTAACTTCTCAATTAAATTACATTGTGTAACAAAAAACTTTACCTCAATGTCAACTAGCGACATCTGGTGAGCAGAAAAATATTAGCCCTCATTTTTACAGGATGCATAAGTTATAAGTCTTACTCATACCACTTTAAGTTAAAAGTTAATTGTTGCTTGGCTTAATCCAAAACTTTCTAAGAATGCGAGTATACCCTTTATTTTCCAATCTACATGTCAAAACTTTGTAATAGTTTAATTTGTACATTAATTTATAAAATACAATTGATTGTAAATAAAAAAAACATGTATGAGTGTCGTGGAACACTTGGTTGGAACGAAATTCTTTTCGTAGTATATTATTATTGATAAACGTATTATATTATTGATTAACAAGTACAAATAAATGAATTACTAGCGTCTACTAAAAAGAAGCGTCATTTAAAATAAATGCAAGATAAGAAAAACGATATGGATATTATTCCATCGCGCTTCCTTATAGCCGCCAAGGTCGTCTACACTACGTCAGAAGGGGTCGTGACAGAAAAATCTTACACTTTTTCTTGCCTAGCCTCCATCCGCTAAATTCGTACTGCTCGATAAGGAACTTCGTTCCAAAACATAAAATAAAATATCTCATAGTCGTATCTTACGACACCCACGTGAAGAAGTGCGATGATGGATTCTCTTAAGTCCATACATAGGCCTCCTCATAGATTGCCACATAGGGGGGATATTCGCCATAGTTGCCACGCTTGGCAAGTTTATTTTTATTGACGTGACAACGTCTTATAATTCGATGAGGCTGGCTGCACGCACGAAAAAACATGACTCATGTGGCGTTACCTCGCTCTGAGGCGTTGAAGTGCAAGCGAGAGCGCGGAACGAGCGACAAAGAGGCACAACCGGCGTTGTCACGTTCAACTATCGTCAGTAAACCGACTTTACAGACAACCGATTTTTTTAGTCGTTATCAGGAAGGCGCTGCTGCCCATCTTCTGATTTGTTTCCTCTGTCGCCTCTTACGACACCCACGGGATGATATTGGGTAGTGGGTATTCTTACACCGATATATTACGTTCGGATATTATTTACGTTCGTTTTTTATAGAATAAAAGAAATCAATAATTCAAATCTTTTTGTTGCGACACGAATTTGCCGATGCGTACGATCGTGCACTCTAACCCCCGTGTGTTAATAAAGCGGCAAAGAAATTGGAACGAACGTTAGTTACAAGGATCCCTGTCAGCCTTGGATCACTAAATATGCATACACGGTAACAAAATGGTATAGTTTAATATTCATTTGTATTATAATTCGCTTCGGTACAAAGAAAATTTTATGGTTGCCATTAATTTTGCGTTTGGCCTTAATTTATGTGATAAATAGGCCACAGAGTAGTTTTTAGTAGAGGCGACTGGCGACGTATTACAAATGTGATACATATTATGAATATATGAGTTATGCATTTTTGGCGGTCCACCACTGTGTAATTTACTATAATTGTGTATTTTTCCTCGCACGATATTTTTGTGTAATCGTTTACCACCGGCGTTTATTCCGGACTTTTTAAAATGCCGGCAACGCACCTGCATTTCCCCTGGTGTTTTAGTTGTACATGAGTCGACACTTCCATCAGCTAAGCCACATACTCATTTGCCTCCTCTAATATAAAAAACGTCCTATTGGGCATCGTTACCTTTATATCCTATTAAAGTCCACTGCTGGACATAGGCCGCTTTCCATAGAACCTCCATTGAATGGGGGATACTGCCATAGTTGCCATGCTTGGTAAGCGGGATAGCAACCGCAGTTTTTTTATGCATTATTATAGACGCTGCTGCCCATCTCCTCATTTGTTGCCCTCTGTTGCCTCTTACGACACCCACGGGATGATATGGGGTAGTGGATATTCTACACCTTCACTACACGGTAAACAGGACTGGGCATAGTCCTCCTCTTATTTCTGTGAAGTTTATGGAGTAATAAGTCCATGGCCTTAAAATTTGTTTCATTAAACAATTACGATTTCCTCTTTCACCGCTGAACAGCTGATAAAACGGCACTAAAAATTGCAACTAACAACTTCATTGGTGCCGGCAAGGATCGAACCCGTGTTGCTCGCGTATTTTGAAGTACAGCAAGTGCTTAGCCAGCCGTGAACCATGTAGTGGCGGTGTAAGAATATACACGTACATCGTCCCTTGGGTATCGTAAAAGATGACAGAGGGACACAAACCAGGAGGTGAACAGCAACGTCTGCCAACCCACCTGCCAAGCGTGCCAACTATTACAAACATTCCCCTGTGAGATATATGTATAGTTGTAACAAGAATGGGTCGGCTCCACCAGGG